AAAAAACAACAACAACGCACTTCCTTCCTCCGAAGGCTTCTCTTCTTCTGCGGCCAAATAGTTTCACAGAAGCTTACAGTTAGCGAAAAAAGTTTATCCCCGCAACATTTTTTATGGATATATGCAAAGCTCTGCAGACATGTAGCCATTAGGGGCACATACTTCCACCGCGGCAACACGCAAACATTCAAACAAGGGTGCAAATACTTGGAGAATCAAAGGGCAATGTGCACGTTTTCGTGCGAGTACGGCTATTGAATGCTTGTGAAAGTAAGGCTGCCGCTGAAAAGTTTGCAAGGGCGCTTCAGCAAGAGAACGAAAAGAATTTCACTTAGGTTAAAGGGATAAACGGAGAATATGGACTCTGCAAATCTGCTGAACTTCGTCAATGCCTTCTCCATGCTGGGCTACGTGAAGACGGCCACGGTGAGCCCGAGCGGGCTGAACTACGAAGAGACGCTGAGCACGCTGCGCTACGCGTCGCGTGCGCGCGACATTGTGAACGTGGCGAGGGTGAACGAGGACCCGCGCGCCCGGCGCATCCGGGAGCTGGAGGAGCAGATGGAGCAGATGCGGAGGGACATCCAGGGCAAGGACCCCGCGTACGTCGCCGAGCTGGAGGAGAAGCTGAGGCTGCTGGAGGCGGAGGCTCAGAAGCGGGCGGCGGACCTGCAGGCGCTGGAGAAGGAGCGGGAGAAGAACGAGATCCGCGAGAGGATGCTGCGTGCGACGGAGGCCGAGCGGCAGGAGCTGCTGCGCCGGGCCGGCGCTCTGGAGCAACAGGTGGAGGAGTCACGGCGGCAGGCGGAGTACCACGAGCAGGCGAACCAGCGGCTGAAGGAGGAGCACGCGCAGCGGGAGCGGGAGTTGCTTGAGCAGGTGCGGCACCGCGAGGCGGAGGTGGAGAGCATTCGGAAGCGGAGGGACGCGGAGCTGCGCAGCGGGCAGGAGCAGTTGCGCAAGACGATGGAGGACCTTGAGCGCGAGCGGCGTGAGCGCGAGGAGGCGCTGCGTGTGCTGGGCGAGCGGCAGGAGCAGCTGAGCGCGGCGCTGCGAGACTCGCGGCAGTCGGAGGAGCAGCGTGCGGAGCTTCAGCGCCAGAACGCCCAGCTCGACGAGCGCATGCGCCAGCTTGAGTCGGAGCGCGAGGCGCAGCAGCGGCTGTTGCGCGAGCTGGAGTTGCTGCGGGATGAGCACGAGAGCCTGCAAAACGCCGTCGTGCTGCTGCGCACCGAGGTGGAGGAGTTGGAGCGGCGCTACGACGAGACGACGTACCACCTGCTTACTGTGATGGACCTGCAAGCCGAGTCCTGCGGCGCGCTCGTGGACCGCCTTGGCATGGAGCACGAACAACAGCTGAACGAAAATGAACAGTGGAATTCCGAAGACCGTGCTGCGCTGGAGCGGCGCCATGAGGAGGCTGTGGCTGAGAGAGACGCGGCACTCTCGGTAGCGCAGGCCGCCCTGAATGACAGCCAGCGCCGTATAGAGGAATCAATGGCGGCGGGAGAGAAACTGCGCGCGGAACTTGAAGCCCTTCAGAAGGAAAATGACGCGATCCGTGCCAACACGAGTGCCATGGAGCGGGCGAAGGGCGAGGTGGAGCAGAGCCTGGAGGCGGTGACGGCGGAGCGCGATGGGCTGCAGGAGCGCCTGACCGCCACGAGTGACGCGCTGAGCAGCCAGCTGCGCGAGGTGGAGCGGGCGAAGGGCGAGGTGGAGCAGAGCCTGGAGGCGGTGACGGCGGAGCGCGACGCTGGGGTTGAGAAGTTGGCCTCGGAAAAGGCTATGACGTTGTCTTGGCATCGTGTGAGAAGTTACGTGAGGAATTGTCGTTGGCTGAGGCCTCGTACCGGGAGGAGGTGACAATGCTGCGAAGCACGAATGAAACTCTGTCGACTGATTTGAGCCGGGCACTGTTGCGTTTGGATGCGTCGAATGTGCGGCTGAACTATTTGCGGTCGTTGTGCAAGTCGGCTGGCGTGGGTGGGGCAACCGAGAGCGGTGAGGACCATCAGGTAACCCGTGCCGCGCTTGGTATGGGGG